TTTCTCAGCTGCAATAATCCTGGCTAAACTGGCCTTTCTGGGGCTGGCTTAGCTTTCCATCCAGGGTGCTCACGTCCTGATGGAATCTCCAACCGTGGCGGGCACTTTACTTCTTCCTATGGAAGCTCTTTGTAACGGGGGAGAGATGCAATGTGTTGTTTAATTTGTATTGCACCCTGTGTCCAGCACGAAGACGTGTCACACACCCACCTGGAAGTCAGTGTCATGCTGGAGGTCAGCCCAAGCCCCACAGCACAGGATGGGGGGTGCTGGCCGGGTCCTCTTTTCAACAGCTGGGACTCCCAGAGGAGGAGTCCCTCATGGACAAACTGGAGAGAGCAGACGTCAGGCCAGTGCCACAGCCCTGTTTGGCTGGGGTTTGCTGGGCAACCCTGGTAACATGGGCTGCAGGATCTGAGGCTGGGAGCTGCCAGGAGGCCCCTTTCCAGGTGGTTCATGGGTCAGATCCTGCAGCGTGCGGCTGCTGGGCTGCTCCTGGCTGAGGGGATGGATGGTGGGACGAGGTTTTCCTTCTGTGTTCAGAGTGTGCACCTCCTCCTGGGCAATAAAACTTGACTTCTTCCCACGGACAATCTCCTTGCCTGTTATTGTCACTGTGCTGCACAGAGCGTGGGGTCCCCACAACTGCTTCAGAGGCACAGGGGGGGCAGCACTGGGGTGCCCAGCTAGCCACTACCTTCCTCCACTCCAGAAAGCCTCCCCCACAGGAATGAGGCTTCCCTGGGGAGCAAGAGTGTCTGTGGGATGGGCCCACATGCCCAGGGAAGGGCCAAGAGGCTGATTGTTTGTTCAGTTCCCTATGGGGAACTGCTGTGCTGCAGGCTGGGAGAAGCCTCCCTGAAGCCACCAAGGCATTGCCATGTAGCAGCATCTCATGCAGGAGACCATGCAAGCACAGGATATCTTGCATGCAGAGGCTCCTCTGGGGTCTCTTGGAGGTTTTCCCAGACCCAGGTTTACCTTTTCCTGGAAATTCAGAAATTTGTTTAGAAAGAAAACAAACAAACAAACAAACAAACCAACCAGTAAAACCTCAACCCTCAAAACCTGAAGTCTGAGCTGAAGTATCCTGTAAGTGAACTTGCAAAACCTTCTTGTAGGCATTTGGCTGTGGTTCTAGCTGTCCTCCAGTGGAGGATTTACCATCACATGAGTTGCAGGGACAACGACAACACCAGCATTTGCAGGAGAGCAGCACATTTTTCTTGGCACATAAGACCAAAAGAGCACCACAGCACAGGGTGGGATCAGCTCTACCCCTGTCACTGCCTGCTCACATCAGCCCTCTCCAGCCCTTCAGGGATGGTCTCCAGGCAGTGCAGCCCTGCTCCACATCCCCACCGTGGGGAAAGGCCAGTCTGGCTCCACCGTGGTGCTGTGCAGAGCCTCCTCCCAGGCACCCGAGCCCTCCTCCCACCAGCTATCTACCTGCTCTCAAGTTACCAGCTCTGTCCAGAGCTTCCTTCCTCCCAGCTCCCTGTTTAGGATTCTCTGTGGTGCCCCCTTTCCCAAAGCCCTTGCCACCACACTGGGCAAGCTGCTCCTTGGCAGGCTCCCTGGTGCTGAGGGTTGAGTTCCTAAGGCCTGGGCTCTGCGCTCCCCCTTACATACCCCACCTCAGTATTTGCACTTCCCATCACTGCCACCCTCACCATGACCACAGGATGCCTGTCGCTCCTGACCTGTCCCAGACCTTCTTGTTTTCCTCATCACCTCCCAAGCACATCCTTAGGTGTCACATTGAGGGGTGTGTTCCCCTCCACCTCCCCCTGAACGCAGCAAGGAGGCAGCAGCTCGGCCAGTCTGTGGCACGGGCTGCTCTGGGCTTGTTTGCCACAACAGGAGGGGCACGCTGGAGCTTCCACGGGCTATTTGAACATGGAGAAGCCATAAGCCACCCATTGCTGTGACGACCTAGTTCCAGGCAGCCTTC